TGAATAGAATGTGTTAAGGAAGAAAGGCTCATCCCCTTTTTATAGGGATGAGATACCTGCCCTAATAACTGCCCGGATAAGGATGAGCTAGCTGCCAATGCTGCCCGTCCGTACTCTGACACGCCGCGCACATGTCAGAGGTGGCGCAGGGCGTTGGGAGCTGTCAGAAGTGGTTATCACTATCACCCAATACCTTGTCGACACGTGTCCACCCGGCACATGGGGTAAATATTCTCGTGAAGCTCAGTCAGAGACCCTCACGCGCGTCTGCCATACACGCGTCTGGGCTTATGTCGATCAGATTGCTCGATCACTCAGTTTGTTCGATCACTCATCTGATCGATTGATGGGTAACTCGATCAGTCTGCGCAGTCGAGCCTTGGGTTGTTCCACCGTTTGTATAGTTAAGCCTTGGGCTGCTCGATCGCTTGTGTGGTCGAGCCTTAGGCTGCTCGATCACTTAGATTCCCGCCTTTCGGCTCGATTTGCTCCCGATCTGCTCTTCTCAACCGGCTCACCAAATCGGTTCGTCTTTATACAGATAATATCCTATATCATCTAGTCCCCCCCACTCTGGTCGAATCTGAATGACTCGATCTAAGAGTGAGTTCATGTTTATCGACCTTCTGGGTAGTTCATCGTCGAATATCGACCGGCTGACGGGTGTCCCGCCCATCCTTTTTGAATAGTTCCAGATTAATTTCCAGCCTTAAAGTCACCTGTTCCACGTCTTTCTTGTCGCGCCTACTTTTTCGCCACGCGTCCCACCTTTTCGTGTGTGTCAGATGCTTTAATGATGACGCCCCCTCGCCTAACGTGCCCACTTGGGGTACCGTGCAATTTAATATCCCCGCTGTACGATCTAGCTTTAATCCATCGGCCTTCCTTCTTCCCCTTTTAATTTTCCCCAAGTATAAAACCAGTACTTAGTGAAATTTCAGACTTTTTCCACCTTCGTCTTCCTCCAAATTCCTTTGCATTCAAAGTTCTCTCTGCGAAAATTCTAGCTTCCGCCGTCGATTTTTCCTGCAATCTTCAAGTTTTTCCCTGATTCTCTCCTCCGTGATTATGAGTAAGTTGTTTTTCTCCTGATTTTATATTTCCTGTATCTGGGCTTTTGTGTTTTGAGGAATTTTTTCTCTGTTTTCTTTTTCGAATTGGGTATCTGAAGTTTACTGATTGAGTGTTTTGAATCTGTGCGTCGAATGTTTGTCTGTTGATCGCTGTAGATTTAGCTCCTCCCCTTTGAAATTCTTTCGGAATCTCTGTTCCCTTTCTTCAAAATAGCCCCCTTTTATGGAACCCTAATTTTTAAAGCCTTCTCCTCCGGCCCTTCTCCTCTTTTTTGATATTGTTTCTCTCTTCTTTGTTTTCAGATCCCGCTACCTCGACCACCTCCTCTGGTTCGGTTGAGATCTTGCCTTCTGCACTTAAAGCCGTTCCTCTCTCGATTCTTCGCCCTGGTGATACTTTTCCTACTCGTGTTTTCACAGCTCGTGTCGCTTCTTCCAACTCCGGCGACACCATGGATAACATTCCTCTCCGCAACCGTAGACCTCCTCTTGGCTCAATGGATGAGCCAGAGGAAGACGAAGTTATTTCTTCTCAGCCCACTTTTCCCACATCTTCGACCATTCCTCCTCCCTCAAATTCTCCACCCAAGCAGTCTTCGACCAAGAAACTTTCCGAACGACCATCTTCTACCTCTCTATCTCACCTCTGGTTTAATGCCGATAAAATCGGCCAACCTCTTGGTTGGGCGTTCATTAGGTCTTCCCCTTCCGACCGATATGATAATCCTCCTCGAGACTGTTACCCTTTCTTCGAGGTCCAGTTCAAGCTTGGGTTACGTTTTCCTTTGAGCCCTGATATAATCCGCATCTGCGAGTGGTTCTCGCTTTCTTTACACCAACTTCCTCCTAATGCCATCCGTTTTATCACCACTTTCATCATTCTCTGCAGCGTCCGTCTGGGTCGATTTGATCTAGACTTCTTCCACTATTGTTACTGCCCCTCTAAATTGGGCCGGGGTCTTTATCTGAAAAGTCGCAATGGTGCGCACTTCATCAACGACATCCCCTCCAACCTCCCCAAGTGGAGTGATAAATTTATCTTTGTTCGACCTGACGTCCCCTTGCCCTGGCCTTCCATTCCTTGGGTCAAGGATGTTTCCAAGGAGGCAGCCTCGGCTCCTCCATCAAACCCCCTCTTCGACCAGCGGATCCATGTTTGGAATTCCAAAACCGTTGCGTCTGAAGTACTTCTCAAGGACGATAACCTCCTCCATTTATGTGGTCTTCTTTCCCACAAGACACTTTCTCCACCCACAGAAGAGATCCTCGATCTCGTTCGGCTCGATGATGACCCAGGTGATCTTCGGTCGATTAATTTGAGTGTCTCCACATACTTGCTTTTATATCGGTGTACATGCTAATGTTGAGCTTGTTCTGCTTGATGTGTTCGTGCAGACCCAGTTTCAACATCCCCTTGAGGAAGGTGCCTCTAAAAAAGAAGACCGGGGGCACTTCTGGCTCGGCCGGGGGTCAGGCCGAGGGCTCGAACACTTCCTCGGGGTCTCGACCAGAGCCGCAGCCACGATCGCCTCCCCGAGAGACTCCTTTACCTCGGCCTCCTCCTCCGGGGCCTCAACAATCTCAACCGGAACAGCCACCACAACAGCCTCTACCGCATCAGCAACAACAGCCGAAACAACAGGAACAACAACAACAACAAAAGCAAAAGCAGCAACAACACCAACAACGGCAGCCATCTCCCAAGACCTCACAGCAGCTACCCTCCAAAACCTCGCAACAGAAACCTCCCAAGGAGAAATCTGACTCCCAGTCGGCTTCCATGTCGTCGACCACCTCGAAACTGATCGACCAGCCACATGGATCCAGTGATCACCCGAAAACCGTTGACCGCTCTCAGGGATCAGACGGCCGCTCGCAGAGGATCGGCTCTCGGGCTTATAATCCTAAGGACAACCCCCAAGACCACCTCACTAAAAAATCTTCTGACTCCCACGCTTCCTCCGAAACCAAAACCCAAGAGAAACTGCCGCTTGCCCACCAATCCTCCAAAACCACTCTCGTCGTATCGACCAAAACTCTTGTCGAGTCTGGCAAGAGCGATGACGGGGGGCGTGAGTCAGCTTTGGGCAAGCGCCCTCGAACTGAGCAGGGCGAGATCGTTGCCAAGCGGGGGCGTGCGGGCTATCTTCCTCCTGATCCCTTGGCCCCGAAATCAACATCTCTCCTGTCGGCCTCCGTTAACGAGGTGGCCGACCGTCTCGAGGGTGCCCTCCTCGAGGATGATCGGAAGAAGGCCAGTCTCACGTTGCCCTAGGTCGGCGACAGACTCGTGCAGTGGTTTGCTCAGGTATGATTCTTCTGGCTCTGCATCGGTTCTTTTTTCCTATTTTTCCTTTGTCAATACATACGCTAAATTACTTTATCTCTTATGTTGATAGGGCTTGGTCGATTTCCTACCTCTGGCCAAGGAAGCTCGGGACAGCTCGGGCAAGTCGATCAAGGGCCTCGAGAATACCGTCGGCTATTTGCAAGACAAGAATTCGACCCTCTTGAGTCACAACGCCAAACTCCGCGAGACGCACACTGGTTTTTTATTACAGGTCACGTACTATATATTTCCCGTACATTTGTTTTTTATTCATTTATATAATTATAAGACTCGATAAATGACCTTAAAATTGTATACCCGTGCATCGCACGGGCATTGTACTAGTGGTTTTTGAAAACCGAACCCGTCGTCGAATTTGTGAAGCTACTCGTTCAATGGTTCAATGGTCGAACACCGGTTGAATTAATATATAATTATTTATTTATTTTATATGTATAATATATTTGATTATATATATTTTTATCATTAAATATATAACATTTCTCTAAATAATAACTCGATAATAGATGCAACCGACAATGTTGATTAATGTTTATAACTTTTTTTATTTTACTTTAATTTTTATTTTTCAAATTTTAATCTATATTTAAGTTACAAAATAGAAAGAATAGAAACAACCATATTTTCATTTTAAATCACATTTTAATTTTTTTTATTATTGATTAAAAAAATAAAAAAA